CTCAATGAAAATAGTTTTTAATCGAAAAGAAAATGTCACCTGAACCTACATCAAAATTCTAATATATATACTTTTTGGTACTACATGTTGGTGAATGGCTCATATCTTAAATATTCTGGTAGAAGGTTACCAGTGTAGTATGGAATAACAGAAAACTTGGAGAGAGAAAGAGAGAGCCATTATTTAAAAGCAAGTATCCTCGGTAACAGTGTGAAACCACATGACTGTGGCTGCAGTGTACGGCAGTGGTTTTAAGTACAGTCTTTGGTGAAAGTGGTGTTTTTTTTTGTTTTTGTTTTTTATGGAAGGGAATTTTCTCGTTTTGATTTCTCCTGCAAAGATGTAAAAAACACTTCATGGTATCACAAACAGATGCTCTTAGGGAAATTGTGATAAAGCCGGATCAATATAACCTGCGTAAACTTGTCAAAGTGTTGGCCCGAAGACCAGAGCAGCAATTTGGACATTAAGTAGGAACTTCTAAAGGATATTTATTAGGGGACACAGTTCCATAATAAATGTGTATTAGCTTCCTCAGACCACTGGCTTAAAAAATTTACCACAAACTGGGTGGTTTAAAAAGACTGAAATCTATTCTTCCACAGTTCTGGAGGACAGAAGTCCAAATGAAATGTCAGCAGCGCTGTCCTCTCTGTAGGGCTCTAGGGGAGAATCGTCCAGGTTTGATGGCTGTCTGCATTCCTTGACTTGTGGCTGCATGACTCCAACCTCTAACTTTGTCATCACATCCCCTCAGTCTCTGTTGTGTGTCTCCTCCTTCATGTGTGTGTGAGTCTCTCAAACTCATTCTTACAAGGGTACACGTGATCGTGTTTAGGGCCCACCTGGTAATCCAGGGTTTCACATTTCAAGATTATTAATTACTTATTTTGCTCCATGAGGTGACAGGGATATGACATGGGATATTTTGGGGACCATCTCTGGCCTAATATAATATGTATGATGGGACCTCCCATCTCCTTAAGTTAAGCCTTTGACTGGTTATAATCTATCTTGCCAGTAGCCAATTTTGAACTTGTGTAAGGGTGGCTTCCTTATCTGAAACAATTCAAAGGATGACTCCATGTCACCTAGTGCATTGGTAAGAGAAGCAGGAGGTAGTCTTAGTATTACCTATGCAATCAGAGCCCCCAAATACCTGCCAGTGATATGATTCTCCATGATTCCTGCTCTTGAGTTTTATTTGCAACAAGAACAGAAACAGGTAATCAAGAATGGATTATTAGTGAATACAACATCCTTTTTGGGATATATGCAGATGATCTAGAACAGTGGTGGAGAAGATGAAAAATGAGCAGGTAGACAATGAAATCAATACATGAAGACACCTAAACTGCAAATAACCACATTTCAAGTTTATATGCATTTAACTACCCAAATTTAAAAGACCATTGAAGTGAAGATAAGAATAAGATACTAGCATTGAAACATTGGGGAATTTATATAAATGAGGTTAAGGTTGAGTTCATAGAGCCTCTCAATTATGCCTAAGAATAAGTGCATAGTCAGAGCTGGTTTGCACTTTTCTAGTCCTAGAAGTTCTTTGTACATAAATATATTTTCTTGAGTTTCCATTACCTTTGTTTGCATGTGTTATGACTTGAAAGTTTATGTCCTCCCCAAATTCATATGTTGAAATCCTAGTGCCCAATAAGATGATATTATGAGGTGGGAGCTTTGGGGTGATTAGATCATGAAAACAGCCCTCAGGATGGGAGTAAAGCCCTTATAAGAGACCCAAGAGATTCTCAGGCCCCATGTGAGAATACAGAGAGGCATCTACTCCCCAGAAGAGGGCCTTCACCAAAATGAGACCATGATCTTAGACTTGCAGCCTTCAAACTGTGAGAAATGTTTGGTGTTTAAGCTACCCCATTTGTGGTATCTTGTTATAGCAGCTGAAATAGACAAAGGTAGCATGAGTCAGAGATTTTTCTATTCTCCACATCGATCTTTCCCTTAAAAGGAATTTGGAACTAGAAATCAGAAAACCAGCCACTTGTTAACTGAAACATAAAAATAATAAATTCCCTTCCTTTATTCTCAACTTTTTAATCTCGAAATTGGGAAACCATGTAAATCTCAATATCACAGAATTAATGTATCTATCAAATGAGATAACACATAAGGAAATGTACTTTAAAAAGACCTTATAAAAACGGTGTTATAGTCTTTATATCACATGGCCATGCTGCCTGGTCTTTTGTATTTAGCATTCAGTCCAGTGCTTGGTTATATTGTCTAGTATATTTTTAAGTGGGTATTTTTCTTTTCCATCAGGTTATTTGGTGTTTAATGACACAGACCATGGATTATGAATTTTTTTGTAGCCACTTTCACTATAACATTTTCAATGTCACTGGGCCAATAGTAGTAGTTCAACAAGTTCTTATCCGGGTAAAGATAAGAACTATGGCTGTGGTGTGAGAGGCTTCACTGCTTGCTCTTTGCTCCATGGTAAAGTTCTCAAGGTCTGATGTGTAAAGATACACCCAAGGAACTTGTTAACAATGATATTCCTTGGCTCCAGCCAAATAACTCTATGTTAATAACATGGTAAAAGGACCAGGAATCTTTATTCTCATAAAATAATATAGCTTATTATTAGTTATTTTTATATTGTTATAGCTCTTAAAAAAGTAACATCAGCAAATAAAGAAAACACTATTTGATAGTCACAGATATTGAACAAGAAGTCATGTTAGACATTTTTAAAAGAAAAAATATATTACCATTTGGTCTTTTTATGTAACTCTGTTGGGTACAGGGCCTTTTGTTTGTTATAATACTAGAGGCCCAGTGCACAAAATTTGTGCACAGAGGGTGGGAGGGGTCCCTCAGCCAGGCCTGTACCCTCTTGCAATTCAGGATTCCTGGCTCCTAACTGCTCACCTGCCTGCCTGCCTTATCACCTCTAACTGCTTGCCTGCCTGCCTGATTGATTGCACCTAACTGCTTACCTGCCTACCTGATTGCCCCTAATTTCCTCTGCCTGCCTGCCTGATTGCCCCTAACCCCTCTACCTGCCTGATCACCCCTAACTGCCTCTGCCTGCCTTCCTGATCACCCTGCCTGATCACTCCTAACCACTTTGCCTGCCTGCCTTATCACCCCTAACCATTTTGCCTGCCTACCTAATCGCCCCTAACCACTTGCCTACCTGCCTGGTCACCCCTAACGGCCTCTGCCTCAGCCCCTGTGGCTTTATCCGGAAAAACATTAGGAATGATGTCTGGAAGGTTGTTCAGCTGTCCAGTCTAATTAGCATATTATGCTTTTATTATTATAGTTTGATGACAATGCCAAGGAGTGAGTTTCCTCCTCACTCACACTGGGAAGATACAATATCTGCTCCTTGACTATGGTGTTATCTTCACTGTGATCTGTATCTTCCCAATTGACAGGTTGCCCATAACTTTTATCATGTTGCACAATTTTAGCTAGAGTTGTAGCCAAACAATTTACAGTACTTCCATGAAGCTGTGGTTCATTTAAATAGATGCTGAATTCTCTCTCTCTCTCTCTCTCTCTCTCTCTCTCTCTCTCTCTCTCTCTCTCTCTCTCTCCTCTAGATAGGTATAGGTAGTTTTAACACATGCCCCACACACCCCAGATGATTCTAAGCAGGCGCTATGAGAAACACTGCACTAGGAGCAAATAAATAGACAATTATTTCGATTTCTCTTTGTCATCTAAGCTCCATTTGTTGAACTAGAAGAGAGGAGATGGTTTAAAAGAAAGGGAGGCAGAAAATGTGGATGGAAGGAAATATAATCTGGGGTTGCTCATTTAAGACATGTCCTAGAGATTTGATTTTGGAGCAGTGTTGGGCATGGTGCTGACATTCAGAGAAGACACCTGGGAGACCAGTGCCCACTGTGTGCTAGTCCCTGAGTGAGGTGCTGTCCATGCTTGCTCAGTTATTCCTGGTCATCTACTCTGTGTCCTGTACACAGCAATTCTTGACAGATCTTGATATTTATGTTGTTGTATTTTACCTAATAGATAATGATTATATACTGTCTTGATAGCCAAATACTTTTCTATTCTTGAATCTTTTTTTTTTTTTTTTTTTAAGAATTAGTGCCACTACTTAAACATTTTAGGCACAGAGCATAGCTATTTATGGAGACACAGTTGGCAGTTAAGGGTGTTAGACCTAAGATGTCTCCTACTAGGATTTTTCTTTAAATTTTTTATTAAATGTATTGGGGTGACTTGGTTAATAAACTTATATAGGTTTTAATGTACAATTCTATAATACATTATTTACATATTATAGTGATCCAACCTCAGAACTCTTTAGTTGGCATCTGTTTGATCCCCTTTATCTTTTATTACTCTTCACCCCCATTCTCTCTGGTTACTACCATACTGTTGTCTGTGTTTATGAGTTTTTGTTTGTTTGTTGACTTGTTGCTTTCAGTGTTATATCCCACATATGTATGAAATCATACGGTTCTTGACTTTTTCTGTTTGACTTATTTCTATTAACATGATATTCTCAAGATGCATCTCTGTTGTTGCAAACAGCAGTATTTCATCTTTTCTTATGGCTAAGTCCCACTAGGATTTAAAAATCTGACTTTGCATGTTACAGAGGGGATTCTTCTAAGTTGTCTCTATCTGGCTTAGAATAACATGTGCTTATTTTCACCAACTAAACTTTTGTTGATTCATGACAAAGTGGGCAGGGGGTTGAAAAGGCAGAGCACAGTTTCCTCTCACAGCCGCCAGCTGCAGTAGTCAGCCAAACAGTGAGCAGAGCTCTTGAAATAGCTTGACAGATGTGCCATGGTGTTAATAATAGTAATTATACTGTAAGTGCCAGTAGAAGGAAATATTTTCAATAGAAAATATCAGACTCAAGAGGTGAGAGGTTGCTGTGTAAATAAAGGAAGAGGGGAGACAACTAATCTTAATATTATAAGACTTACCCCCACCCCCCAAAAAAAGACTTCAGAATGTATGAGACTTACACTGAATCTTGAGTTACTTGTCTGCTTGGATCGTTTTTCTGCCAGCAGATCTTTGACTGTGTGCTTCACTCTCACGCCTTGATACACTCGTTTACTGTAGTCTCCTGAGACTTAAGCAAATGGAATAGTAACAATCAAATGTGGGTGGAGTAATCAGGTTAACAACTAGAGAGATGTATTCAGACCTGATGATTGTAATGCTGTTTTCTTGTTAGAGTGATAGAATTGAATTTGAAGTGGTTTCACAGGGGTCATCTAGTCCCATCTCCTGGCCCTGAATGGAAACCCAGCCAAGCTCTGATTAAGTGGAAGAAACACTATTCCAATTTCTACACAACAACTCTTCAAAGTGTCTCCTTATTTGTACTCTGGTTTGCCAAGATCTACTTAAGGAACACTTAAAATTTATGCTTTAATAGCAAGATCAAGGGTTAGATACAACTACGAGGTGCAAAGTTGGATTTGCATGATTAAGATTACAGAGGGAAAACATTCCTGCTGGCTCACATTCCTACTTGCTGTGGGTTATCAGATCAATTGGACTGTTTCAGGAAGATTATGTTCTTTTTCTGTTGTTGTTAATCCTCACCTCAGGATATTCCCATTGATTTTAAGAGAGAGTGGAAGGGAGAGAGAAGAGAGAAAGCCACATCAATTGGTTGCCTCCTACACACACTGATCAGAGACTGCAACCCTTGACTGGGAATCAAAACAGTGATCATCTGATGAGCAGACCTATGCTCCAGCTACAGAGAAACACCAGGCTAGGGCAGGGAGATTATGTTATTAATGAGAAGTCATTTGTTTCTGTTCTCTATACTAATTTATGTATCTTTTATTTTTGAAAATATAGTTATACATCATCAGGAGTTGTTGCTTTGAAACTGGGCTAGGGCTCAGGGAAGTGTTCATTCATTTAAAAATATTTATTGAGCATTTACCACATGTCCTTATCAACTAGAATGGTGCTGGACAATGTGCATGTATTATTTCATTTGATCCATTTTACAGATGAAGAAGCTGTGGTCTGGGGCTAAGTGATTTGCCAAGGTCTCATAGCTACTAATCAGCAGAATTAGTGGCTAAGATCTAGACTGAGGTCAGATTGTAGCTCTAACAACCAGAAAATTTGCCATTTTACCCTGATGAAATGACAGAGAGATAACAGGTTTAGAGAAAATATTCCTCCAAGGTTCTGAAATTGGGAACATTGCTTTTGGGGACAGTGACTTCCTAATTACTAAGGGTCATCAAACAAAGACTGGAGAACTTTTTGCTTGGATGATTATAGAAGTATTTAAGCTCTTACATGGAGGTTAACTAGAGGAATTATAAGACATTTTTTAACTCTGAAATTGTTCTGTAGAAGGTTGGATGGTTTTGTTTCATTGAGCTGTTGCTGGATTATCAGCAATTTTAGCCGGCTTAGAATTCAGCATCAGTGTATATAGCAGTACATACTAACATATATATGTATTAGATATATAACCAGAAATATTCTCCAATCTGGTTGTACTTGTAAATAATCTAGCATATATTTGACTAATAAGTAAAACCTCATCGCAAAAAAGATGAAGTGAAGGAAGGAGGAAACCAAACCCAAACCAGGGGCAGAATGATGCATTGGTACAAAGGCTGCTGGCCTATGAGTCAGTGCTATACAACCACATACTAGTCACTGACTTGGGAAAATCACCATCTCTTGGCCTCATGAAGAAGAAATAATATATAGGTTCCAAGACAATATATTGTTTAATGTAAATAAAAGCACACACAATCTGGTCTCAGCAAAACAAAGTTATTTAAAAGGTCCCTTGGGTCTAATTTTGACAGGAGTTGGACTATATATCTTTTTTTTTAATTCTTTATTGTTTAAAGTATTACATGAGTCTTCTTTTCCCCCCCTTGACCTCTCTCCTGCCACCCCATCTCCCAAGCATAAGCCCTCACCCCTGCCTATTGTCTCTGTCCATTGGTTATGCTCATATGCATGCATAAAAGTCCTTTGGTTGATCTCTTATTCTCTTATCCCCTTACTCCTCACCATCCCTCATAGGTAGTACAGTCTGTTTGATGCTTCTAGGTCTCTGGTTCTATTTCTGTTCATCAGTTTATGTTGTTCATTATATTCCATAAATGAGTGAGATCATGTGATATTTATCTTTCTCTTACTGGTTAATTTTGCTTAGCCTAATGCTCAGTTCCATCCATGCTCTTGGAAATGGAGAAAATAAACAAATGGAACTACATTATAATGAAAAGCTTTTTCATAGCAAAAGAAAACATCAACAAAACAACAAGAAAGCCCAGTACATGGGAGAACATATTTGTCAATGTTACTTCTGATAAGGGTTTAATCTCCAAAATTTATGGAGAACTCATACAACTTAATAAAAGGAAGATAATCAATCCAATCAAAATATGGCAAAGGATCTAAATAGACCCTTTTCGAAACAGGACATACGGAAGGCTAAAAGACATATGAAAACATGCTCAAAGTCACTATTCATCTTAGAGATGCAAATCAAAACAATGAGGTACCATTTCACACCTGCCAGGATGGCTATCATCAACAAATCAACAAATGACAAATGCTGGAGAGAATGTGGGAAAAAAGGAACCCTCGTGCCCTGTTGGTAGGAATGCAGACTGGTGCAGCCACTGTGGAGAACAGTATGGCGTTTCCACAAAAAATTAAAAATGAAACTCCCATTTGATCCAGTGATCCCACTTCTTGGAACATATCCCAGGAAAATAGAAACACCAAACAAAAAGGATATATGCATCCTTATGTTCAGAGCAGCACAATTTACACTAGCTAAGATTTGGAAACAGCCTAAGTGCCCAACAGCAGATGAGTGGATTAGAAAACTGTGGTACATCTGCACAATGGAATTCTACACTGTGGTAAAAACAAAACAAAACAAAACAAAACAAAAAAACCCTTACTATTTGCAATAGCATGGATGAGACTATATATCTTTTAATTAAAGAGGCATAAAGTACATCTTTTAAATCAGCCTCAAATTTAAAGCTTAATGACCTTATGATTTTTTCCAAAGGTTGTTCTAAGTGTTGTTCCTAGAGATATATGTGATGGCTGTATTTACTCATCATCAATTATTCATTGAATATTTTCCATGTCAGACATTTCAGAACAGGGGATAGAAAAGAACATGCTATCAAGTGGGAGGAGAAAAATACTAAAAAAGTAATTATAATGTAAATATGGTAAGTATAAAAAGAAAAATATGCCTAAGATATTCAGAAAAAAACACAGAATGTGTCATTTCCTTGTGAGTTTGTGAGGGTGTTAGGGAAAGCAAGGTGACACTTGAGCTGAGGTAAGGGGTATGTGGTGATGGCAAAAGGAGCAAGAACATTCAGGCATAGAGACAGCATGGGCAATAATCTGGAGGCAAGAACACAGAAGTGTGTGAGGGAGGATATGGCAAGAACTGAACCTGGGGAACTAATGAGTAGGGCTCAGTCATGAAGTTTCTTCTGTGTGAAGGAGTTTGGGCTTCATCCTATTTGAGACGGAGCCATTGCAGGCTTTTAAGCATGGGTGTATTGTGGTTAGTTTTGCATTTTAGATGGACTTTTCTGTCAGCTGTGTGAATGGACTTAAGAATCACAAAACCTCAGGGAAACCAGGCAGTGGGTTTCTAGAATAATTCGGGCAAGAGGTAATGCGGTCTGAGCAGCGGTAGATAGGAGGGCAAGCAGCAGACATATTTGGCAATGATTTGTATGTGGGAGGGAAAGGAGAGGGAAGATCCAAGGGCGATTCTCAAGTTGCCATCACAGGATTGGTCTAGGAACAGAAGGCACAGAGCGATCATGATGTTGATGGTAATGAAACCAGGAAAGAAGATGAAATCTCTTGGGGAGAGTGTTTAAAAGGTAGAATCACATGATGGCACACATAACAATATGGGTCTGGCATATGGGAATAAACAGGCCAGGCTGTTGCTGAGGGCTGAGAGGATCAATATCCTGGGAACTCCTGTAACACCAATTCCTAAAACACTGGACTAAATGGTTAAAGATGGAACCATCCTTTTCTTGGGGTTGTGCTACTGTCCAATGAACATCTAGTGCAGGCAGCACTGCTAATGCCTAAAATAAATAAATAATAAATAAATGCTTAAAGATGGTCCAGTGGAACATCTCATTTGAAGGGTTATTAGAGGAGGAGAAAACTCAATAAAGAAGAAATCTTTGGAGAAGAACCAGGTCAAACTAAGGGAATAAGGAACCACAGAATTTAGGGGAGGAGATTTTAAGTAAGAAGGAAAAGGTATGAGATGCATTGGAGTGATCCAGGAAGATGGAGACAGCAAAGCATATTTTCAATGCAGTGGTTGGTGTTAGACTTCCCCAATGGCAATTTTGGGAGAGTAGGGTAGCTAGAACTTTGTTCCATGATACCTCTGATCTCATCTTCAATACTCTCCTCCTTATAGATAATAATGTCAAGGGAAGAGGTGGAGACAGGGAGGGAGATGACTTCTTGAAGTTTTAATGAGAAAGGGAAGCAAGAGATTGGATGATAACTGGAGAAAACTAGAATCAAGGAGACCTTTGTTTATGTTTTTATATCCATTTAGGTACTTAATAGAGGCCTGATGCACAAAATTCATGCAAGACTAAGCCTTCTTTCCCCCAGCTGCCAGTACTGGCTTCCCTCTGGCACCCAGGTCCTTGGCTTCTTCCGGAAGGTCATCCAGGACATTCAGTCTAATTAGCATATTACACTTTTATTATTATAGATGGGTGGCAGAGATTAGAGGATATTAAAGTAGGACAGAGGAAAGGACTAAAGGTTTAGGAAAAGAGGGAGAAAATGATGGAAGAACGTTTTGAAAAAGAAGCAAGAAATTGAGGTCAAGGGCACAAGTTGGTTCACAGCCTCTGAGACTGGAGTAAAGAAAGGGGGAGGGGCTCAATGACCAAGGCACCTCTACTTTAGTGCCCCTGGAAGCTGCCTAGTGTAAAAAAACAATTCAAGTACTAAATGTCTCAAGCAGGCAGGGATCAAAGCCAGATAGACAAGCATATGTGAGAATATACCCGAGCGATCCTCCAAGTGTTGGTGTTAGATTTTTAAAATTGGGACTTTTTTTAAAACACCATGGGACGTGGGACAAATGGTTAAAAATCGGGACTGTCCCACCAAAAGCGGGATGTCTGGTCACCTTATTGTGATTGCCGCACCAGCAGCAAGGGCACAGCCAGAAGCTGGGACAGCGTGCAGGTTCTCAGGCTCTCTTCTAGATGAATCAAATCAGAAACTCTAGCCACGGGGGCCCAGAAATCCATTTTTTAATGAGTCCTCCTGGTGATTCTGATGAGAACCACAGGCATACATAAGAATAAGGACTTTGGATAAGGTTCCTGCGGAGGTGGGGGCCAACTCTAATGGAGGCATCCTGGCTAAGCATAAAGGAGAACACCTGACTGGTTGATGGCAGGTGTGGATAAGGTCTGAGAGAAGGAAGTGGAAGCTGAAGAGGTCCAGGCTGGATCCTTTGTGTGTTTGTCTTCGCTTCACTTTTTTCTGAAGGCTTTTTAATTGCTGATTCCAATCTGAATGATCTACTTATGCTTTATGTGTATGCCAAAAAGCCTAGGGGGATTACACCTATTCTCAATAAGTTTAACAAATAGCCACATAACAATGAATAGAGGGATAAAGTTCATGGGATGGTAAACAACCAGATCAACACTTCTGAAGTTTTATCATAAAACAATCAGTCTGACGTACCAGTTGGCACCAACTTGTTGCACGGGGCTATATGCCACAGGGGATGCAAAATAAGTTTAGAACATAGAACAGATGTCCTCAAAGAGATCCTATTTTAGTGAGAGAAATAAAGACATTCACACGTGAAAGGTAGGGGAAGAGTACACTCTGGATTGTTGACAGACGTTTTGTGGGAAGGGGTGGGACTTGGGTTGGATTTAGAAGGATGTTGATGGGATAAGAGGAGGAAGAATGTTTTAGACACCAGGAATGGCATGAGCAAAAGCAGAGGCAGGAAGGAGCAAGGCCTGTGCAGAAAGGGTGAAGAACTGGCGTAATTGTGGTGGCTTAATAAAATAAAATAAATATATAGGACAGGAACTTTGACAAGGATTGGAACTGTACATCTAAGAAACACCATTAAACGTATGGTAATGAAAGCTATGAAAATGAAGTTCTCCAAGGAAGACTTTGTAGCAACAGAGGAATAGAAATCCAATCAATGAGTATGGGGAAAGCTACAGTTCTGGTTCTCAGGGGAAGGCAGGGGATCTGGGGGAGATCAGAAACGTAAGTAATGTACCATCAAGATAGAATCAGATAAATGAAAGAAAGAGGCCTGTAGGGAAAGAGAAATAACTAATAGGAGCTCAATAAAAACTGGTGGAGTAAATAAAGTGCTTTAGAGAAACTAAGAAAAATGAAGGCCCAGAAAGACCCCAGGTTTGCAAAGGTGCAGATCTTTTTGAGCTCACAGGGGAGCAGTTTTGTAAGAAGTGGCAACGAAACCCTTTCTCTGGCTGTGAGAAAAACAGTGCCAGTGGGGATAAGTCATCACGTTCTGAGGCAGTGATACAAAAAGCAAATGCCAACATTTTCCACAGCACCTAAGGTGAATTAAAATAGAGTTTAACTAAGCAATGGGACCTAGTACAAATTCTTTCAACTATCATCTGGAATAGTCTTCATGTTTTTGAGAATTCTCAAAGTGGCTTAACTACCTTGCCCTCCGTTTTTGGAGCTCAGTGATATTTAGAATTTAAAAATGTTACCAGTATTCCTACTCCCAAACAGAATTTTCCTTGTGTTTTGTGTCTATTTAAAGACTACACACCTGTATAAACCTGGAGACACTTGAGTTGTTATTCAAATACTCTAGGCACAAGCTTGCATTCAGATCAGTTGTTGAGAAAACAAAGACAAGTTTCCGGAGGTAAAAAAAAAAACAACACAAATTTATCAATAAGAGTCTATTTGTTCTTTAGAATTTTTTTGGGGAAAAATGTACTATGATATTGTGATATGTATATGCTCCCAATTGTCTAAGTCACGTCCTCTCCTTATTCCCATTTATTTTGCTGAATAATTTGGCCCACAGTAAATATAATGGTGTGGTTAACTTAATATTATTTTTTAAATTAAAGTTAATTAAAAAAATTTGAAACATTGATGTGAAACAGCAATCAAATAAAATTCATATATTTTGAAGTTTAATATTTTAAATGTATGTGATTCCTAAACCATTTTTTGTTACTAAATATTGAATGCATTTATGGTATTTGAAGTACATCCTTATTTTTCTATTTTTTTTATGACATTCTCTGGAATATATTTTCTTTCTTTCAAAATTTTAGAGTATCTAAGTAGGTGCTTGTTACATGGGAAAAGAATAAAGAGATATTTCAAAACAGAAAAAGAATGAAACAAAAACTGATCTCATAACTTTAGAAAATAATAACTTATATTTTGAGTTACATCATTAGACAATGCCAGAATAAGATAATAGATGATCCTTGGCCAGGTGGCTCAGCTGCATGGAGTATCACCCCATTCACAGAAAAGGTGGTGGGCTTGATTTCTGGTCAGGGCATAAACTGAGGTTTGGATTCCATCCAGGTTGGGGTGTATATGGAAGGCAACCAATGTTTCTCTCTCACATCAATGTTTCTCTCTCTCTCCCTTTCTTTCTCTCTAAAATCAATAAAAATATCCTCAGGTGAGGATTAAAAAAAAAGATAATAGATAAATTATCTCTGCACAGTAGGCTCTCAAGATATGGAATATAGGCACTCTCTCACTCAAGACAGCAGCATAAAAATCCTAAGTGATGAGTTACTGGTGAACAGCACCCATGTTGGCTTTATTTTTCTGTCTGTCAGGAAAGTGCCCAGAAGGAGGTCCGTTCAGTCCAGTGGCAATGCAGTGTGTCTGGTGCACCACCTGGCTCAGGAGCAGCCCTGGCACTGTGGGGCTCTCTCAGGCCACTAGCCCAGCTCTGCCTGCCTTGCTGAGGGGCAGACCCCTCACAGGGAGGCAGATGCCACCCAGGAAGAATAGTGCTAGGTCTACCTTCACCAGTCTCAGTGTCTGTGCTTCCACATCTGATCTGGGAAATGGTATCATTTTAGTGTTATTATGGGGAGCGTCCAAAAGGACACAAGGAAAGACACATACAGCAACTTCTCTAGAAATATTCCAAATATTTAAAAAATATATTTTATTTATTTATTTTTTTTACAAAGAGGAAGGGAGAGGGGGATAGAGAGTCAAAAACATGGATGAGAGAGAAACATCGATCAGCTGCCTCCTACACCCCCCCCCCCCCCACACACACACACTGGGGATGTGCCCACAACCAAGGTACACGCCCTTGACCAGAATCGAACCTGGGACCTTTCAGTCTGCAGGCTGACGTTCTATCCACTGAGCCAAACCAGTTGTGGCTAGAAATGTTCCAAATATTAATTATTGAGCAGAAAATAATATATACTGCTTTTGAAATAAAGACCAAAACTTTTAAGGAAGTTAATTTGGATTAGTTAACCTGCTAGGATTTTGTCAGTTTGTCTAGCCCATGTAGAAGGCATCCATCCACAGCCCCTTCCAATACCCCAACAGCCTCCCTCCGCACCTTTAGAGCCTCATAGCTGGATCCAGAAGCTTAGCAATTCTGCCAATTACCAGTTCCATGCTGCAGGTCTTAGGAGCTTGTGTGGCTCTGGCTATCTCTTTATCTTTTGAGATCAGACTTTGAAGAATGTGGTGCCTTAAAATAATATTAGTTTTTATTCCAAGGTACTACCCAAGGCATATTTGAAATAGTTCTTGTCATTACTGACATTTAAAATGCTCACTTTTTCATCTCAAATTTGGTTGGGTTTTCCTCGGTGCTGACACTAGCATCTGTGTCTTCAGGGTGTACAAGCTGAGAAAGATCTGTATAAAGTTTGAATTCATGAAATAACGGCTCAGGTTCTCCCTTACGTGCATGTGGGATGACCTTCATTCTTAGTTTAAGAACCAAAGCAAGATGCATGAGTAAACGATATTTCAAGTTCTGTATGTGGCTCTTTCTCTTGCACTTTAAGTATAGCAAAGGGCTTACTGGAAATCGTTACATTTAACATAAAATTTCACTAGACTGAAAAAGAATGCTTTCATATCCAAGTCCTCATTTCATAAAAATAATGTTCAACGGAGTTGATCTTTCAGAATAAATGCCAACCTAAACTCTATGCAGCCAAAGGAAATCTAACAATTAAGAATTATATGTGACTAGAATTATGAAAATGTTATCAAGAGTTCTAAATTCTTGGTGTCTGGTGTATGTTTTTCATATTTGTATATGTTCCAGTCAGGGCTAAAGATATTGCTTCTGGTTCTTAGCTTCATTTATGATGACAAAATAAACATAAGGTTTATTAAGAGCTTTATATAAAATGTAAAAATCAACGCTGACTCACCACCTTCCATTCTTGATGGTTCTGGTGAATTTCCTTCTGGCCGGGATGCAGGGTTTCTGGGGAGTGAGCAGCGTGCTCTCCTAGGTAAAGGTCCTGGCCTCCTACAGAGTCAGTCTGATCCTGAAGGAAATGGCCTCTGTACATGGTAGTGATGCTTCTGAAATGACTTGCTTGAGATTTTATTAAATGCAAATCCTTGGAGTCTGTTTCTCTACAATTTGCATCCCCACTGTAGATTATATATGAAGGTACTTTTTTCCTCCCTAAGAGGATTTTTATTCAGTAACAATGAGTTTCCATTAGGAGCACAGGCTTTTAAAAGTTTATTATGTAAACAAGGAATCCATTATTTGTCTATGAATAGCAGTGGCATTTCCTATCCCTTTAATTTAGTTAGGTCTTACAGAAATAAAATGTATGAAAAACCCATATTCCTGTGTTCAAAATGTAGGTATTGTGCCTGTAATACTTAGATTATGGGTACATGATTTTTAAAAAGCTAGGTATCTTTCAGATATGGGCAGAATCCTAAGAAAAGATTTTTGTTTGGGAATAAGAATAAAAATGAATGCTGTTTTAATATAATTGACTAGACTTTTCATTATGTATAAACTATATAATACACATTTATATATTTCCTATAGCAGAACCACCAGTGGTGCTGGTTAGAAATACCTTTGTCTAGTCCAGTGGTTGGCAAACACATTAGTCAACAGAGCCAAATATAACAGTACAATGACAGAAATTTCTTTTGAGAGCTGAAAACTGACTTCTGCGCATGGACCACGAAGTTTCAATCACACTGTATGTATGCACCTGCACGTGGTATTTTGTGGAAGAGCCACACTCCAGGGGCCAAAGAGCTGAAGTTGCTCATAAGCCGCACTTTGTAGACCATTGGCCTAGCCTCTATCCCATTCTAATTCAGAATCTTTTAAAGGCAGGCCCAAGATAGCTGTATTTTAAACCACACTTTCTGATGTTTTAAAAATGGTGTTTTTTAATAAAAATTATGAACAATAAAATGGCAATAAATACATACCTATCAACAATTGAATTTAAAAAACAAAGTAAATGAACAAGCCAAACAGAAACAGACTCATGGTTACAGAGAACATTTTGACAGGTGTCAGATGGGAGGGGGTTGAGGGATAGGTGAAAACATTAAGAAGCACAAATTGGTTGTTACAAAATAGACACAGCATGGGGAATATAGTCAATAATGTTGTAATAACTATGTATGGTATCAGTTGGGTGAGATCCTTTTTGAGTTGATCACTTAGTAAGTTATATAATGTTCCGTCGCTGGGCTGTATACCTGAGGATAATATAATAATGTATGTCAGCTGTAACTGAAAAGTAAAAAATGATTTGAAAATGGGGCAAAGGGGCCTATATCGATGTGCACTCAGTGTTGTGAACTCTATAGCAAAAAGTAAAGAAATCACATTTTTGGTATTTTCTGACATTTTTCTCATTCATCTTTACCCACAATTGCTATTTAATCTAATTTTGATTCTGTCTCATGGTCCTAAATAGAGTGAGTTCCTGGACATCTTTCTAGTTTTTCTATATTTGTATAATACTTGATATTTCAGGGCTTCAGATGGGTATCATCTCCTGGTCCTCCAACCTTGGCTCTGAATCTCATGGCCCAGCCGCATTTCAGACTATGAAATCTAGGGAACCTTGTTTCTCAAAGTGTGTTCTGGAGGAACCCAGAGGTCCCAAAGACTGATTCAGGAGATCTTCAAAATGCAAACTGATTTCATAACAAATTAGTTTGCTTTTTACTCTTTCATCCTCTCAGGAATGTACAGAGGAGGTCTCTAGAGGCTATCCGACTTGTGATGGACTAACAGTAGTCGGCAAACTCATTAGTCAACAGAGCCAAATATCAACAGTACAACAATTGAAATTTCTTTTGAGAGCCAATTTTTTTTTTTTACTTAAACTTCTTCTAACGCCACTTCTTCAAATAGACTCACCCAAGCCATGGTATTTTGTGGAAGAGCCACACTCAAGGGGCCATGTGGCTCGCAAGATGCAGTTTGCTGACCAGGGACTGACAGATTGCCTGGAGGAGCAGAAAATCCAGCTGTTTCCCAGAAAGCCAAAAATTCAGGAGGTTCACAAATTTGTAAAATAGTGCCAACCTTTTCAGCAACTTTCTCAGTTTGAAAAGCACTGTTATTTTTTTATTATAAGATTATTTCTGTGGATATGTAATGATGCGTCATTGTTATTTTAAATGACTAGTAAATATTTTAAAATTTCTTAGTTTTAATTTCTAATGTAATAAGTACATTTTAATTAATTACTTTAATTTATTCACACTTCAATAAGTCATATTAAAATAAAGCTTTTTGGGGTCCTCAATTAATTTATAAGAAAGTAAAGGGATTCTGAGAGCAAAATGTTTGAGACCTGCTCATCTGCTCATCAGGAAAGACACCTGCAGTTTTGAGGAGTTTCTGGGGTGCTCTAATGTCCAGGCAGATTTGAGAGCTTTGTGTAGGCACTTCTCTAACTGATAGAATACATCTCTTATAGTTGCGATATTTCTAAAGGAAGTCTGCCCTTCCCACCCATGCGATTCTTTTTTAAATTTAATTTATTGGGATGACATTGGTTAATAAAATTACATGGGTTTCAGGTATACAATTCTGTAATACAACATCTGTATATTGTATTTGGTGTTCACTACCCAAGTAAGTCTCCTTCCATCACCATTTATTCCCCCCATACCTCTACTCACTTCCCTCATCCCCTTTCCCCTCTGGTAATCACCATACTGTTGTCTATGTCTCTGTCTGCGTGCTGCTGTTTTTGCTTAATCTCTTCAACTTTTTTACACAGACCTCCAAACCCCTTCCCCTCTGATAGCTGTTAGTCTGTTCTCTGTATTTGTGAGTCTGTTTCTAGTTTGTTTGCTAGTGTTTGTTCATTGGATTCCACATATAAGTGAAATATGGTATTTGTCTTTCTCTGACTGGCTTACTTCTCTTAGCACAATCATCTCAAGGCCCATCCACGCTGTCACAAAAGCTAAGATTTCCTTTTTAAAAAGTATGTAATATTCCATTGTGTGAAGATACCATAGCTTTTTTACCCACCCATCTACTGATGGGCACTTGGCCTGTTTCAAGACCTTGGCTATTACAAATAATGCTGCAATGAACAAAGTGGGTAGATATTCTTTGGAATTAGTGGTTTGGGTTTCTTGTGACACATTCCCAGAAATGGAAAAACTGCCACCCATGTCATTATTAATAAATACTGAAGATTGAGGGCTCCTGCTCTGGCTCTACCTGATAACTCAGTGGTTTTTCAGATTCACTAGGAATGCTGCCTTCTCCACATAGTTTGCACCAGGATAGATTCAATAGACCATTCCATGGAGCTTCTTACTTGAAATGATGCTGATTTCATGCTGCTTTCCATTCTGGTCAATGGTTTGCATGTCCATCCACCATCCCCAACTAGATAGTCTCTTTCTTCTCCTCTGTATTCCCACAGCATTTAATTAAGTGTGCTTACAGGGCTGTGCACATAGTAGGTCCCCTGTGAGGGCCAGCCATGCTGAACCCTGCCCTAGAACCCAGCAGAGATATTGGTCTCCGGTATAAGCAGGACATAAAAGATAAAACAGAGCCCAGGACATTCCACCAGTCTTCCTTGTAAATAAATGTTATAAGTATAAGCCCTTTCTCTTTCCACAAACTGAACGCAACACTGAAGACTTTGTAACCATTGCCCTGTAGACCGTTCCTGCACCCCAGACTCAAAGGCTAATGATTTCCTGCAGGAAGTTTGATGCAGAAATGCCTAGAACCCTGCAGAAGCATGGCAGATGATAAACGTCATCAGAAGAGCTGAAATGCATGGAAGCTGAGAAATTGATTTGCAAAAGATCAGAGGGCTTGTGCTGAAAACACCCTCCAGTACACTTGCTTCATTTGCATAGAACTCCAGAATTGTTTGCATAGAGTTAAACACATTTTAAAAAATCCCAGGAAAGGTTGTTTTCCTACATCAAGGAAACAAGTTTTCTGCAGATGTGAGTGGCTGGTTGTTGCTGGAAGGTTGTGGATTGGCGGTGAGTGGCCGTTCGGCTTCAGTGGCTGGTGGGTTTAGAAGCAGGGCCCACGAGCAGCCAGGCAGGCTGTTGGTCTCAGTGGATATGGTGATGGCTGACGGCATGTTGGGGGGAAAACAAGGCGGGTTTGGCTAGAGTAAACACAAACCCACAGAGCACAGGCAGGATTAGTATTCCTCTCCTTCCTCTTACAATATATCGCGAACAACCCTCAGATACTCCCAACCACAAAGTTTCTGTGTCAGCTTCCTCCTTCATTCCATGGCTGGGCACCTGCTGCGTGGGTTGGCAGTTCCTGACAGCTTGGCAGACATGGTGGAGGGGAGGGGAGGTTGTGGAGGGCAGTGTGAGGGACCCTGAAGCAGGCACCTCTATTTCCCCCACCCTGCCTTTGTTCCAGGGCTTCCTGTCCCTGAGGTCTATCTATGAGGGAGAGCTGAAGAGAGCAATAAGTGGCTCAGTGGCTTGGGCTGTGCCAGGCTCCATTCCCACAGTGCACAGGGGCTCAGGGACACCTCACTGCAGGGAGGAGGGGAAGGGAGAGCATCATATTGGGAGGTAGAGAAGCAAAGTGCTAGTAGCACATGAGATGCCTCTTACGTCAGAAAAGAATGAAATTGTGACAGACTTAGAAATAGATATTTGGTTTCTGCTCTTGGTTCTTGACAAAAAAGCTCATAAAAGCCTTGTAATTGCCTAAGCATTAGGAGTGTTAGGAGCATATTTTTTCCCTTAATATTTGGTCTTTGCTGCCAGCTACTTCCATAGAGCTCTTAGATCCATTGGGATGACCTGGGTGATTGAGTGTCTTTGTTCTCATGAGGCAACACTTAAGTGACTCTTGGGTAGCTTCAGGAGAGGGGCTGGTCACTGGATTAGACATTTGGAACTTTTAGCCCTGCCTCCCATTTTCCAGGAGGGTACAGGGACTGGAGATTAAGTTAACAGTTGATCATATCTAGAAGGTGAAGCCTCCAGAAAAGTCCCTAACCTACAGTCTCCAGAGAGCTTAAAGGTTGG